AAGATGTATTATTTTATTCATTCACTCAATTTTATATCCACACATGGAAACCATGCGTGTAAGGGCCCGTTTGGTTGGTTTCCTAAAAATCAAGAGAAGGAAATCGGTACAAGGAAATCAATAAAATAATATTTTTACCCATTTCCATCCCTAAAACTCACCCACAACATCTAATAAAATATTATTTTTATCTTCCAACTCATCTCATTTCATCTCCTTTCTTACATTTAAAAATAAACCAAACACAAGAAATGTGTCACATCATCCAACTCATCACAACTCATCTTATCCCATTTTTAAAAATCACACACATCATCCAATAATATTGTGACAACTCATCTCATCTCATTAAACATTCATTTCCATCCATTTCCTCAAAAAAAAAACAAGAAATTGGTTTCCTTAAGTACGTGTCACATCATCCAATAATATACCTCCAACTCATCTCATCTCATCAATTTTCCTATTTTTAAAAACGAACCAAACACAAACAACCTCAAAACATCATTCAATAATATACCTCCAATTCATTTCCTTATTTTTTTAACCAACCAAACAACCTCAAAACAATTTTTTTTAAAATCACTCACATCATCCAATAATAAGTTGACAATTCATCTCATCTTATCTCCTATTCTACAATTTCTTTCTTTTTTAAACCAACCAAACAACCTCAAAACAAATATTATAGGAAATAGTTTTCCTATTCTTTGATTTCCCAAAAAAAATGGCCAAACGAACAGCCCCTAAGTGTTCTGGTTTTTTCACTTTTTGGTTTGGTTGACAACAGAAATGGGACATGACTTGGAGGGATGAAACGGAGAACATGGAAACAACAGAAAATTGGGATGAGGAAATGGAAGGAAAGAATGTCCATGCTTCATTAACCTATTACAAAGATTTCCTTATAATAGACAAAGATTTCCTTACAAGGAACGAATGAGTTGTCCTTAAGAATCCGCTTAGATCCTACATTCATGAAGCCGTGTCTGACGAAGATCACGAAGAGGTTATCTTGGTCGACGAAACAGTTGCTGAGTTTTCCTTGACACAAAATAATAATCTGGTGGATGAAATTGCACTGGCGTGCCCTGATGTACCTGCGATTATATGTGAGCCAAGGCGTAAAGTCAAAAAACGAGTCCACGGTAGAGTCGATAAAACTATAAGGATAGTCCTTTTGTCGGCACGCACACGCTCGCAGGCTAACCGCACACGGTCGCAGAGTAGAGCCTCAACATCATAATAATAATATAATACTTGGTTATGATTTAAAAAGAACATTCATGTATCTGTTTGACTGGTTATCATGTATCAGTTTGTGTTATGTATTATAATATTACCTTTATATTATCTATTTGACTGGTTATCATGTATCAGTTTTGTGTCATGTATTATAGTATTGCCTTTATATTATCTGTTTGACTGGCTATCATGTATCAGTTTGTGTCATGTATTATAGTATTGCCTTTATATTATCTGTTTGACTGGCTATCATGTATCAATTTGTGTCATGTATTATAGTTTTGTTGGGTGCTCATTATGTTGTCAAAGTATAGATGATAAAAGGATTACATAAGAGAGCGCTTGAGAGACTTTTTAGTAGACATTCTGGAGGCGACGCACATGGCTCTACGTCAGGTATTTTTATTTATTTATTATATCTGTACATTTCTATAAACTATTAATACGAGCCTAACATTATTTTTTAACATTTCCTACACAGGACGCATCGCTGCTACTGACATGCGGAGACACTCGTTGATCCTACCCAGCATGCAGAGATGCCGCCGTCGCCTCCTCCGCATTGCAGATGCATGGAGGAGCGCCGATATGAGCCATATAGCGCAGCTGTAGAAGCTGCGCCACTACCGCCGGATTCTATTACAGATCAGCGAGCCCACGACCCGGCCAAGGTGAAGGGGGATTGGGATGCTTATCATGCTTTGCGACCTACCGCACAGCATAGGTATGAACAAGCAAGGCGTAGATGCTTCGAATTGAAAGGTGTGTATAGATTTTTATATTTTATCTGTTAATATGTTAATTTGTATTATCGATATTGATTGATTTATATTTCGCCTGAATTTCATTTTCGTAGGTACCGAGCAACCTACTAGGAGCGGCCGCGGTGGTACCAAGACACAGAACCTCATCCCAGATATTCATCGGAGGGTCGTGATCCGATGGGAGAACGGCGTGCCTGTCGGGCCATTTGCTAACGCTTTCAACAATTTCCTTGCCGCTTTAGCCAGGAGACATGATTTCTTCAACATATTTTTGACGTGGAAGTCGCAGCGGATTGATGCGCTGGTGGCTTGTTGGAGATATATATATGTGTGAGTCATTTATTTTAATTCTCATAATAATTAGTCATTTTATTATTTTGTTTAACACACTGATTTGTATCTCTTTTTTCATTATATGCTGAAGCGATTTTTCTTTCTTGACGATTACGCTTGTGCCTGGACTTACTGCTTCACGCAAATCAATCTATCGTTCAAGAGGTGGCGGTTTGAGCTGAAGAAAAAATATTTTATTCAAAGAACAGAAGATTGGGAGCGTTACTGGCATCTTGACGAGCGCGTACATGGAGTAGATTTTTTTGCACTTTGAGATTATTGGGACACGGCCGAAATTCAGGTATTATTAAAGTATATATTTTTGTTTATTGTTTAAAATTCTATATTATATCTGTTTAACATTGTTTTGCAGGGTCAAGCTGAAACAGCAAGGAGGAACCGCAATGCGCCCCGCAGTTACGAGCATCACGGGGGCTCCAGGTCCTTCAGCCAGCATTATCATCAATTGGCGCTTGAGGTATATAATATATTAGCTCTTAGGTTATCAATTTGAGTATAATTTATGTGTTATGAGTTAATGATATATTTGAATAAAATAGGGAAGGGGAGATCTTGAGCATTTTGCAGATCGTATTCTGACTTCATGGAGCCCAAATTACGCCGATGAAGAGAAGAAAGCGCAGAACCGGGATCTGGCTGTAAGTAGCAGTTCATTTGTATATTTAATTTTTATAACAATACATTTTAAATGTGTTAGAATTGACCGGGTTGTTTTGGTATATCATAGGAGAAATTACATGCTAAGGTGCATGAGCAATTATCACAGACTCAGGTCGATTCTAACACTCCGACCCGATTAAGTAGAGAGGAGGAGGATAGCATCATCGAGACGGTCATTAGACCGAGTAGGAAGAACAGATACCGGTGGAGAGGATCTGAGCATCGGCCGTACGAGTCCAATAGCACCTACGAGTCTGCAGCACAGCCAGGATGCAGTTCTTCTCAAGACCCGACTATGGAGCAGCGGATGAAAGCGATGGAAGATTGGCAGACGCATCGGGAGTCAGAGCTACTCCAGATGGCGGAGGAAGAACGGAGGCGCCGGGAACAGAGGGAGCTGGAATTCACCCAGTTCATATCGACTCTGCCTTCTGATGCTCAGGAGGCATATAGGAGACGGTTATATTTCTTTTTTAATTAAATGAATTAAATATAAAATTCTTACTTAGTTATGAGTATGCCATGTGACTAAATGATATCACACACACACACACCGATGCACACTGATACAAACTGTTACACACAAACTATATCTCTCTCCGAAACACAACTAAAATTATATACTTAATGTTTTTATGTGATGGTGGTGTTGATGGTGCGTGCGTGTGTAGCGATGGTTGTATTGGTTAATGAGTTGGTTAGTTGGTTGTTTTGTTTTCTTGTGGTGCGTTCGTGCGTAGGGTCGTTGGTTATGTTATTGGTTGGTGGGTGTTTTCGTCGTGGTGGTTGTGGTAGGAGTTTGGTTGGTTGGTGGGTGGGGTTGGGGGATTGTTGTGGTTGTGGTGAAGGTGTTGTTATTGTTGTGTTGTGGTGTTGCATGTGTTGTGTTGTCGTGGTCGTTATGTGCGTGCTTGATGTTGGGTTTGGTCGTGGTGGGGGAGGGGGGAGTGTGGGGATTGGGTTGAGCTGGGTACTCGTGCATGCGTGTGTGCGTGTTGGTGGAGATAGGTACGCGTGCGTGCGTGTGTGCGGGTGGGGTTAGGGTGTGTGCGTGCGTTGTTAAAAACATGTGCGTGCTTGCGTATAATACATAAAAATATGCCATGATTCTCTCTCCGAATCATATAACATGTAAGAATATGCCATCATACTCTATTATTGCTATACTTGCATGTCATGCCATGTTGTTTTATAATAAAATTCAGTTTTTGATAATGTACGTATTGTTCTATAACGTCTTATTTATATTTTTAGGCTGAGACTTCTCGACAAGGTGGAGCTGGTGATGAGGATGATGATGACCGAGACTGATTTTATTTGTTTTAACATTGAAAACAATGGGTGTGCTGTATAAATAACATTTATAATGTTGGGATATTTATTATGTTTTTAGTGAAATGTGTGTTATATATGCGTGAGAATGAAATATGTGTTATATGTGCTTGTGCTGTGTATCTTTATTGTACATGTTTTATTGTGAAATATATTGTACAGGGGATTTTTATTTTTCAAAAAAAAAATTTAAAAAAATTCTGCTGACTTTTAGCGACGGATTTTCCGTCGCTAAAAATACTAATAGCGACGGAAAACTGATACGGTACACGTGAACTGATACATGCCTTTGGCGACGGATAGTCCGTCGCTAAAATGTATAGCGACGGAAATTACCGTCGCCAAAAATCAAGAATCAACGACGGATATTCCGTCGCTATAAATCCGTCGCTGATAATTAGCAATGGAAAATCAGTCGCTAAAAAGTGATTTACCTACCCTCGTAATAGTGACGGAGTTTTAGCGACGGAATTCTTATTTTTTCGTCGCTAAAACTATTAGCGACGGATTTTCGACTTTTGGCGACGGAATTGTCCGTCGCCAATAGTCCACTATGCAGTAGTGGAGAGAGAGAGAGAGAGAGAGAGTAATAACATAAAAATCAACTTGATGCTCCCCTTCATAATATAGGAAATCAATTTGACATTCATTAAACAACTAAAATGTGCAAAATTACAAGATTTGCTTGCAACATGTTTCCCAAAATATAATTACTCAATGTGCCATGCCGTCCAAAATGACAAGAATTGCATGAGAATACAGTAATGCAAAACAATTGCCCACATTGTTCAAAATGGCAATTACTCCATCATTAACACTAATGCAAATTGTTTGACTAGTTCATCACATCTCAGCAGCAATGTTTGTTCCTCCACCTGACATTTGTCCTCATATTTGTGTAGCATCAATGTTTGTTCCTGTAGCAAAGCTTTGTTGTCCTCTAACAGTCCTTGCAGAAACACTCTTAGCGTCTTTCGCTACGTCTTCGTTCACTAAAATAGAAAAATTAAATCAATATAACTACAAACTTTCACGAATTAATTCTATTCACTAGAGATCATGATACTTAGACGATGAAATACTATTACCTCTTTCAGGCTCCTTTCTTATTTTCTTCTTGTATTTCCCAGGTTGACGTTCTTAGACTTTAGTGAGGTAGTAGATGTGCCAACACCAACATCCTAAATTTGAGTACATGATTTAATTACAATAAAAAGAAAAACAAAAAATTTAACCGATCATATTTGTGAAGTGTATTAGCTCCCACTTGTGAAGTGCTTGATCCCTTCCTCCTTGTGTGAACAGGTTGAGCAACTTATGAAATAACATTTGATATCCCACCTCCATTTTGAACACCAATAACAACCGGAGGAAAGATGTTATAACCTATGTTCGACAATATTTACATACATGTAACCTCAACAAATTTAAATTTTTTTTGAGACAAGGGAAAAGACACTTCTGTATCTTACACTCTTCTCATTACCTCCTCTTTATGATGTGTTTATTTGGTTCAGATCATTCCTCCATATGTCAGTAGGACGGCCAATCGGTGAAACCATAGAAGACTCTACATTACCTGTAGGTGCAAGATTGAAATTAAAGAGTGAATTCTCTAGGGAATGAAGGGGAAAATGTGAAAAACTACCAAAAGACAAAGCAAGAATAAGATTTATTTTTATAAGGAAAAAAAAAGAAAAAAGAATTCCTCCCTGACCGATGCATTCTCCAGATGTTGACTTCTTTTTTTTCTTTCTTGAAATCCTCTTGAATTTCTCATATTCAGCTTTTGGTTTTCGTTCCTTAGCTTTCTTTACCTCCTTTTGCTTTGATTATGGGCATTAAGTGACTCTCCTAGACCATCATTGTTTTGTCCCTGCCTTTGACTTGAAGCTGTTGGTCCTCCTTTGCAACCCCTAGAATTGTGCCCATACTACTTGCATCTAGTGCACTTGACAGTGCATGATCTTTGTGTTCTTCTTGGCTCATCATTATGTCTAATTCTTTCCTTCCTTGGTCTGCCAGGTTGCCTTCTTATTCTAGGTGGATTTACTTGTAGTTGGGATGAAGCTAGCCACATAGATTGATCTGGAACAGGCAGAACAAGCTTCCTATATGCTTCCAAGTATGTCTTAGTCTTATGATAATCACTGACATAATCATTCACATCTTCTCTTCTCAAGTTAATTGCTCTCACAACATTCTTGCATGGTATGCCTGTCAACAACACCGGATAAATATAGGACAAATATGTAAGTCGCGACTACAACAAGTAAAAAGAGAACTAGCTAGGAAAAACACTAAAATGTGCTGAAAGTTCTAGATCACACTAGAATGCAAGAGCAAATTATCTCAATGTAAGCTTTAAAACATAAATAATAAGAAGCTTAAAATTAAAGCTGGTAGGATTCAAGCATACAATATTGCGATAGTTTTTTACTATAAATATCTATCATTATTTTATTGTAGTTCAAGCACGCATACATACACATATACATACATACATATACACACATATAATTGCTCATAAAGAGGGACACGGGTCAAAAAATTTTGTGAAGAGAGAAGCTGACCTATCAAGCTGTAGAGAGATTTTTCTCATTTGATTTTCCTTCAGAGCATACACGTAATAAAGAAGATGATATCATAGTCATGGCCTCAATAGTATGTAACTTGATAATCCTATTTTTCAGCTCACGCTTTCATTCTATGGTCTCTTTCCAGCCAATTCGCCGGTCCTGTTATGAAACACCGTCCTCAATGGGCCAAGCGAGCCCATGCTTCATCAAATCCCGATCCGGTTCAGCGTCAAAAATTAGACCACGCGTGCACTCGGTTCCGATCCAACGCGTCTCAAAATGAGCCGCATCTTCCAGTCTAGTTTCCTCGTCCTCTTCTCCAAGCAAAATCCAGCAGCAACCCCAAAACAGTTATTAGGTTTTATATCCGCAACCAAATCAGAGCCACAGATCCGACCGAAAATGCCGACGTCGATGCTAACCCGAAGAGCTCCATCCTTCTACTCCTCCTCATCCTCCTTCCTCCTCCGCTTCCACTCGCCGCCTCTGCCGCCAGAGACTGCGCACTTCCCCGCGGAGCATCGTACAGCACGCGAGCCCTGCGCTGTCTCCTCCGCCGAAGTCGATCTCCCTCGGCGTCGTGGGAGCTCTGTCCTTCTCGCTGTCGTTCTCAACGGCGGCGGCGGCGGCGGCGGAGAGGCGGAGGCGAAGGCTCCACCGACACGGCCGGATCTTGATGCCGAAGGATGTGGTGCTGTACCAGTACGAGGCATGCCCCTTCTGCAATAAGGTGAGGGCGTTCTTGGATTATCACGATATACCGTATAAGATTGTCGAGGTGAATCCTTTGAGTAAGAAGGAGATCAAGTGGTCTGATTATCAGAAAGTGCCGATTTTGGTCGTGGATGGCCAGCAGATGATTGATTCTTCTGGTGGGTTGAGTTTCTTTGGAATTTTGTGTTTTCTGATTAGAGGGATTTATGTAGGTAATTTGGAATTTGTTGTTAATTGCAGGGATTTATGTAGGTAATTTGGAATTTGTTGTTAATTGCAGATATAATTGAGAAGTTGAGCAACCAGATTCAGCCTGCTGAGGTGGTTATTGATGAGGAAGAGACCAAGTGGAGGAGGTACCAGCTTCTTATGTTTGTTTAATTTAGTGAAGTAATTGTAGACTTTCAGTTGTTTGAAGACGGCATAGCACTTGTCAAAATAAGTAGATAATTATATCAATTTTCAACTTTCATTACTTGAAATTTTAATTTTGCCCATAATATCACAAAGTTTCACGAATTTGAACATTTAGACACTAAAGTTTAAATTTTCCAAAATAATACCTCAAAATTTCTCAAATTTTAACTCCAATACCTCCCATTGTATCACTATTCAAAATTATATTTAAAAGGCATCACATGAATATCACGTGATAATATTTGGACTGTTATACCCTAAATTGAAAAGAAACCTCTCCAAATCTCTCTTCCTTCTTCATTTCAATTATTTGGCACTAACATGTGGCAAAAAATAACTCCTATTTAACAATATTTGCAACAAATATTGAAGGAAAACCTTAAATTGAAAGGAAGAATTAACTGTAAAGTACTTTTTATCGGCAAATCTAATGGTTGAAGGACCCTAGAGGGGGGGTGATTAGGGTCAAGAGGCTCTAATATGCAATTAAAAAACAGTACAAACAAACCACAGTAACAGAAGTGCAATAATAAAGAAAGAGATAAAGTTAGGAATCGTTATCCTTGACGCGCGATGTGTTAACGAGGTTCGGCCCGCTGACCTACGTCCCCGCTCCCCACTCTCGAGGAGAAATCCACTAACACATCCGGTTTGGAAGCCGGAACTTCGTCTACACAAAGATCCCACAAGATCTCTCTCTCACTACACAGTTGATCTCACAGATCACACTCCTTCACAGTCGATCTACACAAGATCTCACTCATAGCAGCAGAAGATAAATGCAAGACACTCTCTTTACACAAGCCCCTATAGCAAAGAGAAGAGTACTGAAGCTGGGAAGTGAAACACACACAAGAACTCAGAAGAACAAGTTTGATTTGAAAATTTTCTCAGGAAGAAACAGAGCTCTCTGGTTCTCTTTCAAACGTTAGGCTTGGAGAAGAAGAAGCAGGCTTGGGGGTTTTTATAAAAGAGTTTAAATCAATAAAAACAAAAACCCAATCTTCCTATTTAGGAAGATAATCTACTTTGCAGGTTGTGACCTCAGACTGTGCCAATCACTAATAAGTGAAAGCACAGGACACACTCCCTCACAGTAGATCTCCACAGATCTCAACCACACAGCAGCAGAAGAAAAAACAAGCAAGAACCTCTCTTTACACAAGCCCCTATAGCAAAGAGAAGAGTACTGAAGCTGGGAAGTGAAACACACTTGAAACAGAGAGAAAAACAGAGTTTTGAAAATTTTCTCAGGAAACAGAAAAAGCTCTCTGGTTTTCAAACGTTAGGGCTTAGAGGAAGAAGAAGAGGTCTGGGGATTTTATAGGAGAGTTTAAATCATTTTAAAACAAAAAACAAATCTACCCAAATGAGATAATAATCTCTTCTTCAGACCCTCATCACAGACTGTGCCAATCACTAACAAGTGAAAGCACAGGGTTCGAGGCAAACGACCGTTTTAAAAAAGTCGCGGCTGAACAGAGGCAAAAATCGGTTGACCGAAGAAAATATTGGTCGACCGAAAAATACCTTCGGTCGACCGACCGAAAAAATCGGTCGACCGCCAGCAGCTAAGGAGTTTTGACAAAACATCCAGAGACTCATCGGTCGACCGGCACGGTCGACCGATTAAGGGTTGAGAAATTCGGTCGACCGTATCGGTCGACCGACGACAATCTGGAAAGATACTAAGGGATGGCGACCGGGCCGGTCGACCGATTTCTGATATTTTCCAGAAAACAGGTTTTTGACCAACTTGAAATATTTGCAAGATATTCATTTGACCTCTGAAAATTCTGAAACTTTGTAAAATGTTTTTAATACTAAAAACAAACTGTTTGGAAAAAGAATTTTGCAGATAGATACTCATACTTGTGAAAAATAGTGTTTTGTGAAAAAACGCTTAAAAGACACAAGTCTAAAAACGTGTGTGTGATTCCCAATAGCTTCAAGTAAACTCAGTAACTCTTTGCCTACATTCTAGCACTAGAGAGAAGAACAAAAGAAGGCTAATATCCTCATATTGAAAGCAATACTTGAGCTTTGATATAGCTTGAATCGGATGAAGCTTTTATATGCCTTTGTTCTTGAAATAACGTTGCTTCATCTTTTTGGCCTCCTCCTCCTTTAGATGTCTTCGTTTTAGCGTATATTCCATCCATCCTCCGTTAATGGCACTAACGAGCTTGACAAATGATTTTACTACATTTACACTCAATAAGCCATTAGTACCGATAATGGTGGTTGTAAGAACATCATCAAAACATGAGGGCTAACAATGGTGATGCAACAGAAGGTATTTACGTTAAAAGGGTGAAACTTTGGGGGTATTATTTGGTCAAATTTAAACTTCAGAATGCCAAAGTTGAAAATTGATGAGACTTTAGAGTTTAGAGTATTAATGTGTGATTAATCCTATAGAAAAACATCACCTATAAAAAAATTTGAACAAACATTATGTGAACAATATGTTGTTTTATATCTTGTTTAGCAACTTGATCTTCTACACTTGAGCCCTTAAGATTGTAAGAATTTACTGAAAATTGTATGATATTGTTGATTTAATTGTTTGAAGAAATATTTAGCGAATAGTATGTTGTTCTATAGCGTGTTTAGCAACTTGCCCTACTACATTTGAGATCTTAAGATTGCGAATTTGCTGAAAGTTTTGTGATTGTGTTCATATATTGTGTATTATTTATCAACAATAAGTCAACTTAGTGAATCTTATTAAATTGAAGTTATGTAGTCTAATCAACCTAAGTTTCAAAGTAATTTACCTGACATTACATCATATTTGAGGCATTTCACAATGGTTAGCATATGTGCATTGGTGGATCTGCAATGGAGGTGATCAGGTCAATTCCCTCTAGTGAAAGATCCAGAAACTTTGATCACAAAACTATATGTCTACAAACATAACTAGTGTGTGATATTTTTACAATATTAATGACACCAATACCTAAATATAGGGAAAAATGTTCCTAAGGTGACACTTTAGATCCAATCTAAGGAAACGCCTCTTATGCATGGATTAGACTATTCCTATGGATGAGCCCATCCATTCATCATGATCTAAATGTCTTAAGCATCTATAAAACAAAAATTATGATGTTTCACTACCTCTAACATATATTTTTGATTATTTCTTTAGTTGTGTTGTTGTAAAATAGTTAATTCTACAATCACTTGATGCATGAGTAGCTATAACCCAATATGCTTAATATTTTATTTACATACAACCCAAAACATATAAATCGAAATAAACGGTTCAAAAGTTTGAGATATAATTTTTCATCTTCTTTGTTTCTTTCGTTTCTTTTTTCCACTCCAATACAATACATATCCAAGCCATGTCGACGACATTAGAGAATTTGAGTCTGGAAGAGACAAATTTGATATATAATACCCATGCCATGTCGACAACATTGGAGAATTTGAGACTGGAAGAGACAAATTTGATATATAATTTTAGGCTAGTAAAAAAACTGAAGTTCAATTGAACATAGAACTATAATTTTTATTTATTTTATTGTTGTTGGATCAATCAATGAACAAGTGTATAAGATTCTCCAATGATGTTGAGCATTTGTCATATGTATAATATTTTTGCAGCTTGAGGCATTGTTATCGAAGCGCGCGCCCCGGGCGCGGGCCGTTGCGGGTTGAGCAATTGTGCCCCGCACCAGAAGCGGGGCACTGCACGCACACGAGGCGTGCGCGAGGTGCGCGCCTCATGTGCGCTTGACACCTGCATCATGTAATAGACTCTTTTTTCAATTTTTTTTTTAAATAATTTACATATTACATATTTACATCATGTAATAGACTCTTTCTTGCTAGTTGCTAATCCATTCTCCACCTTTTCATGTTTAACCTATTAAAAGAAAACAGTAATTAGTAATTTAGTATACTTATTTGCTATTTGTAACTTCCTTTTCTAATTAGCATGCTAACTAAAAAATTATGAACATGTAAATATGTAATGATTACATCCATTCTCCATCTTTTATTTTAACTAGCAAATAACAATTAAAAATGCTAACTAAAAAATTATGAACAATCATGTTTTTTAATCACTTAATTAATTGTTACTTAAAAATACATATATCATATTTTAAATAAAAATACATATTTCTTATTTGTTACTTGCTTATTTTGTTTCATAGACTTTTTCTTATGTTGGAGATTATCTTGCATTGTGATTTATGAAAATTTATGAACTTCTCTATGTTATGCATGCTAATTAAGACTCTTTCGTGATTTAGTAGGTGAAAATATATTTCTCGGTATTTTTATGTATCAATTTATAAACATGTTGCTTATATGTTTCTTTGTCTTATGTTGAAAAATATTAGTTTGAGTTGTGCGTCTCAATTCAGTGAGGCGCGCGCATCGTTGTGCGTCTTGCGCATGGTGCGCGTAAGGGACCTTTATGCCCCGCCTTGCGCCTTGCGCCTCGATAACAATAGCTTGAGGTAAGGATGCTTGACATCTTTTGCATGCTTGTCCAAAAATTTTAATGACCTTTTGCTTTTATTTTTTTCCCATTAATCCATAATGAATGTTCAAAAGTTTAACGAGAAGCCTTGCCACTGAGAAGCTGCTTGTAAAGCGTCGGAGTGGAAACGAGAGAGGAGGTAGGCGGTGTTATCTTGAGAGAGATCTACATGAGATCTTCATAACAGAGAAAGCTAATTAAGTGTGGGGTCTACTTCTAATTAATTAATTAGTATATTAACAAATCTAACCAACTATTTATATCCAACGATGTAGAATGACCATCTCACGTTAAGCAATCTATCTCACCATCTCACTATATCACTTATATATATAGCTCTATTTTTTTCTTTGTAAGGAAAAATAAAGCTTATCGATCAGTAGCAGGATCATAACATCTCCAAATTTATTCAAGCAACTTGTCTACAAAACTTTAACAAGGATATCACTAATTGCCAGCAAAATTTCTAGCTTCAAACTACTTTAGAGCCCAATCAAGCAAACAATCAAGAAATTCATCAAATCTTAAATTTCTCTGTTATATGTAGAAAAGTGAAATAAAAGAGAACGTTGAAAGAATAGAAGAAAAAGAGAAATAGTAGAGAGGGAACCAAAAAAACAAAATTGCATAAAATTTGAAAATAAAAGAGAAATAGTAGAGAGAAAGAACAAAAAAAAAACAAAGAAATAATAGAGATAGAACAGAGAAAACAAAAATAAAAATTTACAACTTTAACAGAAACTAAAATAAAATTACAAAAAATGACAAAAGATGAAACTGAGAAATTGTGAAATAAGATCAATAAATTGTTTAAAAAGTGATGATTTAGACCTATACAATAAAAATCCTAATTTAATTACAAATTAAATGTCAACTTTGAAAGCCCTAAATAACCTTAACGCTTCGTTTGGTACGCGGG